ACAGGGCTCCGGTTTCTACTCGACCCTCTTCCTGGTACCCAAAAGCTCGGGAGGCTGGAGAGCCATTCTGAATCTCAAACGACTAAACCGGTCGGTAAAGTATCGCAGATTCAAAATGCACTCCCTCAAGTCGATACTAGCGGGCGTAAGGAGAGGGGATCTGCTCCAGTCAGTCGACCTGCGGGAGGCCTATCTCCATGTACCAATCCATCCCAGTCACCGGCGCTTCCTGAGATTCGAGTTCGCAGGCCAGCACTTCCAGTACCGCGCAATGCCATTCGGACTCTCGTCGGCGCCCCGCACCTTCACCAAGTTAGTAGCGGTGGTGGCGGCCACACTTCACGCCATTCCAGTGAGCATCCTTTGTTACCTCGACGACATTCTGATCCTCTCGTCGTCACACAGCCAGGCGACCAAGGATATGGAAAGAGTCCTGCGGGCATTCCAAGACCACGGCTTTTCCATCAACGTCGAGAAAAGCCAGCTACAACCGTCATCTCGTCTTCTGCACCTGGGGGCGGAGATCGACTCGGCCAAAGGCCAAGTGTTCCTCTCTCAGGAGAGGATCCTGAGCATTCGAGACCTAATCCAGCAGGTCTCGGAAGGGGGGAGAGTCCCCCTGGTTCAGCTAGCATCACTCCTCGGGAAGATGGTATTCTGCTTCGGTATCGTTCCGTGGGCACGCAGACACTCGCGGGCCCTCCAATGGTTCCTGCTGCCCTTCCAGAGAGCAGGCAAGACCAACCTGAAGCGCAGGGTAACCATACCATCCCAGGTCCGCCTCTCCCTCGAGTGGTGGAAGTCACCTGCGCTCCTCAAGGGCTGCGAATTCCTGGACCCGGACAGACTCACACTAACCACAGATGCAAGTCTGAGGGGCTGGGGCGCCCATCTGCACCATCTGGTAGCCCAAGGCCAGTGGTCCAGGAGCGAAAGACTCAGCAGCATCAACCTCCTGGAACTCCGAGCAATCAGACTGGCGTTACGTCAATTCCAGACAGCAGTGCAAGGCCAGCATGTTCTGATCCGCACAGACAACATCTCGGCAAAAGCACACGTCAACAGGGAAGGGGGCACGAGGTCCCGTGCGCTGATGTTCGAGTCCGAGGCCCTATTCGCCTGGGCGGAGTCTCACCTGCTGTCGATCAGGGCGGAGCATATCTCGGGAGCAACCAACGTCAGGGCGGACTGGCTCAGCCGCGAACTGATAGACCCAGCGGAGTGGCAACTACACCCACGCCTATTTTGGGAGCTCAGCGCCCGCTTCGGGATGCCGGAGGTGGACCTCTTCGCGACCCCGGAAAACGCCCAGCTGACCCGCTTCATATCCTGGTACCCATCAGCACAGGCGGAGGACCACGATGCCCTACGATGCAGGTGGCCCAGGGGCCTACTCTACGCCTTTCAGCCGATCCCCCTTCTTCCTCGCCTCATCCGAAAACTGCTGGCCGAGAAGGCCGACCTACTGCTAGTGGCCCCCAACTGGCCTCGACGACCGTGGTACGCCGACCTCGTGGCGTTATCCGTGGGGCATCCCTGGCAGATCCCCTCCCACCAGGTGGAACTCTGCCAGGGGGCGGTCAGTCATCCAGAGCCTCAGTGGCTACAATTGACCGTCTGGCATTTGAGAGGGTCATCCTAAAAAGAGATAGGCTATCGGATGGGGTAGTAAATACTATCCAAGCTGCCAGGCGGCCCTCGACGACTCGCATTTACGAGGCTTCGTGGCGGGCGTTCTGCCGCTGGTGCTCCCAGCACCATGAGGACCCAACATCAGCAACGGTCCAGAACATCCTCGAATTCCTGCAGTCAGGTCTGGAAAAAGGGTTGGCGCCAGCGACCCTAAGGCGCCAGACAGCGGCTCTGTCCACAGTCATCGTATGCCCGCCATACCAAGCGCTGTTCCATCACCCGCGCATCAGGGGGTTCCTTCACGGCGCCAAGAACTTGCGCCCCCCCACAGTGCACAGGTACCCGACCTGGGACCTCCCGCTGGTGCTTCGGGCCTTAATGGGCCCCCCGTTTGAGCCCTTGGGCTCAGCTGCCATCAAACACTTATCATTCAAGGTGACATTCCTGCTGGCCATCACCTCAGCCAGAAGAGTCTCGGAGTTAGCAGCACTCTCAATCAGAAAGGATCTCTGCATCTTCAGAGACACGACGGTGGTCTTGCGGATGGATCCGGCCTTCATTCCCAAGGTGAACTCCTGGTTCCACCGCGCCCAGGAACTCATCCTGCCGGACTTCTGCCCCTGCCCGAGCAACAGCAGAGAGAAACAATGGCATTCCCTCGATGTCCGCCGTGCCCTGCGCATCTACATTAACAGAACAGCGGCCTTCCGACACACGGAGGCGCTCTTAGTGTCATTCAACCCGGCCTCCATGGGACTGAAGATCTCAGCATCCACGGTGAGCAGATGGATTAAGGCCTGTATTGCGTTAGCGTACGAGCTGAACACTAAAGCTCCTCCCGGAAAGATTCTCCCGCACTCCACACGCAGTGCGGCCACGACAGCGGCCTGGGCAACGCAGGCGTCTGTGGCAGATATTTGCAGAGCAGCGACCTGGTCATCGGTGACACCCTTCATCCGTCACTACAAGATAGATGCCTACAGCTCCGCTGAAGCGTCCTTCGGCCGCAGAGTATTGCAGACAGTGGTGACAGAGGAGGACTCTGGAGGCACTCCACTTCCCGCCCATGGGGTTTAAACTTGGGTATATCCCATTAATGGATAGTGGGAGCAGCGCACAGGAAAATGGACGTTGTCTTACCTGAATGTCCCTTTTCTGGGCGCTGCGTACACTATCCATACCCTCCCCTTTTCTTCTCAGTTGGCTTCTGCCAGTAGCGTTGTTGTTGTTACAGTTGGTTTCATTAAAGTTATGTTGCTTACCTATCACGGTGTGGTCTACCATAACTTTGTTCAGACTGGGGATCATGGGATTGAGGGGCGTGGCAGGGCAACAGGAAAGGGAAGTTGAGCTCTCACTCAGTTATTGCCAAAGGCTGAAGAAGTTAATCCATTAATGGATAGTGTACGCAGCGCCCAGAAAAGGGACGTTCAGGTAAGACAACGTCCATTCTATTGTTTTCTTCTATTTCTTTGCACTGTTCATTTAAGAATGCATTCTTTTCTAGCTATTCTCTGGAATTCGGCATTCAATTGGGTTTATCTTTATCTTTCTCCCTTGCCTTTCATGTCCCTTCTTTCCTCAGCTATTTGCAAAGCTTCCTCAGACAGCCATTTTGCTTTCTTGCATTTCTTTCTCTTTTGGATGGTTTTAGTTGCTACCTCTTGTACAGTGTTGAAAACCTCCATCCATAGTTCTTCAGGCACTCTGTCTATCATAAATAGATTTAATACCTTAAATCTATTTGTCACCTCTACTGTATATTAATCAGGGATATGATTTAGTTCATACCTGAGTGGCCTAGTGCTTTTCCCTACTTTCTTCAATTTAAGCCTAAATTTTGTAACGAGAAGCTCATGATCTGAGCCACAGTCAGCTCCTGGTCTTGTTTTTACTGACTGTATAGAGCAGTAGTGGTATTCACCTTCACTACCGGTTCGCAAATGTGAGCACGCACACCACCTCTGCACCTGCGCAGAGTATCCGTGATGATGTCTGGGTGGGTGGACAGAGCCTCCTGCCGCTGCTACCGGTTCTCCATCTTTGGCTGCAGAGCACATAGTCAATCTGATTTCTGTGTTGACCATCTGGTGATGTCCATGTGTAGAGTCGTCTCTTGTGTTGTTGGAAAAGAGTGTTTGCTATGACCATCGTATTCTCTTAACAAAATTCTATCAGCCTATGCCCTGCTTCATTTTGTAGGCCAAAGGCCAAACTTGCCTGTTAAACATTCCAATCCCCCATGATGATAAGGACATCATTTTTTGGTGTTAATTCTATAAGGTGCTGTAGGGCTTCATAGAACTGATCAATTTCATCCTCTTCAGCACCAGTGATTGGGGCATAGATTTGGATTACTGTGATATTGAATGGTTTGCCTTGAATTCGAACTGAGATCATTTTGTTATTTTTGGGATTGTATCCCAGTATTGCTTTTCCTACCCTTTTATTGATTATGAAGGCTACTCCATTTCTTCTGATGGATTCTTGCCCGCAGTACCTGATGGTCATCTGAATTAAATTCACCCATTCCTGTCCATTTTAGTTCACTGATTCCTAAGATGTCGATGTTCAGTCTTGTCATCTCTTGTTTGACCACGTCCAGCTTGCCTTGATTCATGGATTTTACATTCCAGGTTCCTATTGAGAATAGATCTTTACAGCATTGGACTTTCCTTTCACCACCAGATGCATCCACAGCTGAGCGTCCTTTCAGCTTTGGCCCAGTTGCATCACTCTTTCTGGCGCTACTAGTACTAGCCCTCTGCTCTTCCTCAGTAGCATATTGGACACCTTCCGATCTAAGGGGCTCATCTTCCAGCATCTTATCTTTTTTCCTTTTGGTACTGTCCATGGGATTTTCATGGCAAAGATACTGGAATGGGTTGCCATTTCCTTCTCCAGTGGATCACATTTTGTCAGAGCTCTCTGCTATGACCTGTCCGTCTTGGGTGGCCCTGCACAGCATAGTTCATAGTTTCATTGAGCTATGCAAGCCCCTTCACCACGACAAGGCAGTAATCCATGAGGGGATTGTTTAGTTGTATCTCATCTTTATTATTTTTACAAATAAGTCAAGGTGGTAAACATGTCCAACATGCCTTCCTCCTGTTCCTCCCACAACAACAATCCTGTGAAGTGAGTTGTGCTGAGAGTGACTGGCCTAAACTGACTGTTGGCTTTCATGGCTAAGGCAGGACTAGAACTCATACTCTTTTGCTTTCCAGTCTTGTGCCTTAATGACTAGACTAAACTGGCTCCCCTTACTGAGTTCTGAAGAAAGAAACTGATCTAAGAAAGAATCTTTTACTTTCTGTGTTAAAGCTTCAAAGTAAGAATGTAAAATGATTTTGCTTTTTTCTTTCAAGGGTGTAACTATTGTAAAACCCATTGTTTATGGTAATGTTGCCCGCTATTTTGGCAAGAAACGAGAAGAAGATGGCCATACACATCAGTGGACAGTTTATGTTAAGCCTTATAGAAATGAGGTAAGCAAAAATATTTTCAACAATAATGCAATTTTTTCAATTTTGAGTATTTAAAATGTTTAATTAGGACGTTGCTATTCTGCACAGTCAGATAAAATATATAGAACTTCCCTCCCCAAACTAAAGTGATTTTATATGGAATATAAGTCACGTCTTGATAAATATACCTAGTATTTGGTGATTTGTTCAGAATGTCTTACCATTTGGAGGACCCACAAATATTGCATGAGGAAAATAACTTAAAATCTGTAACAAGTACTGGAATTAATAAATGGAATGCTGTGTGACAAAGAGACTAGAAGGAACGTTGAAACAGTATAAAACATAACTATATATGTAAATTCTTATTGACTCTTTTTAATTTTAGGATATGTCTGCTTATGTAAAGAAAATCCAGTTCAAGTTACATGAAAGCTATGGTAATCCACTGAGAGGTATGATTTAAACAGTCTTAGATGAAAGTAGAATGGTTTCATTATTTTTCAAAGTTGGATTATCTAATATTTAGTATTTTCCTCCTTTTTTTAGTGGTAACTAAGCCACCATATGAGATCACTGAAACAGGTTGGGGTGAATTTGAAATCATCATTAAGATATTTTTTATTGATCCTAATGAAAGACCGGTAAGTAGTTTTCCCAATGCTCAGTTTTATACATCTGATTACCTTGAAGAAGACACATTCTATTTCAGCTAAGTAAAATGTGGTAGGTCATGTATACATTGCTTGTATTTGTTGGAAAGGTTAAAGTTGTGAATTTTGTGCTAAGATTAAAGAAAATCCATCTGAATTGTTAAGCCATGTTTAGAGAAAAAGCACTAGCATGAGAGAGAGCTTAACTGAGTATAGCTGTATGTGTTTGAACATGACTTTTTAAACATTCTGTGAAAGTGGATTACATCTGTCACCAATTCCTAAAGCAGTCAATGACTAAAATTCTTCTCATGGTATAATCATAAGTAAATTATTTGTGATTGACATGTGATTCAGTTTAGCTGGAGTTTGGCTGGAATTTTGAGAACAACATGCAAGAGTGCATCCTGTTTAAAATAACAGTTGGGAAAATATTGGGAAGGTTTACTTATATTTAGAGTATGAATCACTTAAATGTATTACTTTGGGCATTTTTTGCTTTGTCTCTGCGAATGATGCAACAATTCTATGTGCCAAATTATGAGGAAACAAATATTTTGCAGCATAATCGTAAAATGGTTCTCTGTGTCTCTACAGAAAATAAATGTCAGTAATGAAAGTTAAAAGGTTTGCCTTCTGAAGAAACTGTCAGCAAATAGTGCTATTCCATCACAATCTGTAATTACTAATTCATTTAAATTTATTAATTCTTGTCTATATACAGCAAATTTTCAGTTTCAGTTATCATGGCAAGCTGAAATGTAAAATATTCGATTTCTGTTCTACTGTTTGATTTGTATATTTGGGTAGTAACCAGATTTCTCTATTGCACAGGTGACTCTGTATCATTTGCTGAAGCTGTTTCAGTCTGATACAAATGCCATTTTGGGAAAGAAAACTGTTGTTTCTGAATTTTATGATGAGATGGTAAGATAACAAAAAGTTACATTAACTTTTGGATGATAGTCTCCTCTTCTTTCCCTTTCCTTTTCAGACGGATAGTCTGAATCTGCTCCGGAGGGTGGTTCCCCAAATTTTTTGGTGCATGTTGAATATACAGGAGGAAAGATCCATTAGACTGGAATATTCTAGTAACCAAATTACATGATTATATATATTGCCCATTTTACTGTGAAACATTACATAGTCTAGCAAATAATAGAAATGTATTACTTTTCTCCAATAGATTTTTCAGGATCCTACTGCTATGATGCAGCAACTGCTAACTACATCTCGTCAATTAACACTTGGTGCTTATAAGCATGAAACAGAATGTAAGTGCTGAATGCCAAGAGTTCAGTAATATGTGTTGATTTTAGATAAACTAAAACTTGATTTTAAAGACCCTCTTTCCGATCATTATTGTATGACTTAAACAAGATCTGCACTTTAGCTTTGGCTTTCATAAAAATTATATTTTACTTAAAAAACTCTCTCAGTCTATAATATTTTAGTCCAGATAGAGAAAAGTAATTATGGAAAGTATGGAAAGTTCAGTTCTGCATAATCATCATATTTTAGTCCTATATGGTCTTTATAAAATTTCACTATTTAAGGTCATGCTCCTCAAACTTTGTGGTGTTATGACCCCCTACAATAATTAATTGTGAGCACTCTACTACTTATCATTCATCTTTGTAGAAGCTGTGTGTGCATCTATTTGTGTTATAGAAAGCAACGTGTTAATCTGCATATGAAATTATAGAGAGCTGCTGTCTATGGGAATTAAACTTGTGTGGTAATATTGTTGATAGATGATTTAAGTATGTGCCATCAAGTTAGTGTCTGCTCTTAGATAGATTTTCACATAGATAGATTTTCATCAATAAGGTTTCTCCCCATCCTGGTCCCTCATGTCTATCTATCTTGCTGCCAGTCATTGACTTCTGTTTCTACTTGTCTCAGCATTATAAACTTCTCCAGAGAACTAGGTCTTTGTGAAAATGTCCAAAGTGTGATAATTTGAATCTGGTCATTTGTGCTTTAATGAGAACTTTGGGTTTGTTTGTTTGATGATAGGTTTGGGGTTTTTTGGGCAGGGGGCTATCTGTAGTATTCCGAGGAATCCTCTCCAACATCAAAGTTCAAAAGTATCAATAGTTTTTATCTTCTATTTCTTCAAAGTATATTGATATACAAAATTAACCAAAAGGCATACCCCACCAATCTGCTTAGTTTTTTTCTATAATATCACTACCTGATCTATTTAAACTTTCATGGTGGTTCCTTCATATAACTTGCAGATCAAGCAAATAAGTCTCTTATCTATAGCATTAGGCTGAGGCGATAGTTGGCTAATTTGTTTTGTTCCTTTTTTAAAAAGAGGATTCCTGCACTATTCAGCTAATTATGGGAAAGCTATTTATATAACATTAATGTGAGGATAGCCAACCACAATGCCCACCAATTTGAGGCTTTCGATTTGAAATCTCTTCGTATCAGGTCCTTCCCCAGCAATTTAATTCTGCCTCTTGATGAACATTCAAATTGACCTCCATCTTATTGATAGGCCATTCTGAAGATGGTGAAATGTCCTTTATTTCTGCCTGCCCTTGTCTTTTTTCTTCCTGCTCAAGTAAGCATTTAGAAAAAAATGGCTCACTCAAACAGAGGAGAAACCAAGTTTCAATTACAGTAGTATAGTGTTTCTTTAGAGAACTAGAAACCCTTTTTATTTATCATTCTCCAGCTGTTGTATATAGAGAGGGTTTCAGGCTATTAAACAGCTTATTTTAGAGGTTCATAATTAACTACTAGTGTAGTAATAATAGTGACTGTTGTTTGTAGCATCAATAAACTGAGTAATTTATTTTGCACTGTAATTAAGCTGAGACCAGGATCACAATCTTTCCCAGAGAAGCTGCAAGACTACTGAATCCTTTTCCTTCAGAAATCTAGAAAGAGCTGCCTTTGAAAGAGAGAAAGGGGAGAGAATTTTGATCCTGGCTAGGTCACTTTGGATGGCACATTTGGGCTACGGCAGGGGTGAAATGTTCCCAGTTTGGACCGGCTCGCCCGATCCGGTAGCGATGGAGGCAGGTGGTTCGGAGAACCGGTAGCAAAAATCCCCGCTCCCCCGCCCCCATGCCCAGCTGAACCGCACAATCATCAGAGGCTTTTCTTTTTACTTTTAAAAGCATTTTTTCTACAACTTCGGCTGAAAAAGTGCTTTTAAAAGTAAAAAAAAAAAGGCTCTGATGATTGCGCGGCTCGTCAAAGGCATTTAAAGAAAAAAACCTTTGTTTTCTTTTAAATGCTCTGACGATCCCAGCTGAGTTCCCTGATCAGGGAACTCAGCTTGGCTCCTCAGAGCCTTTTGAAAACATTTTTTTACAACCTCTTAGCCGAAGAAGTTGTAGAAAAAATGCTTTTAAAAGTAAAAAAAAAAATTGGCCACGCCCACTCAGTCACATTACCCCCCACCAAGTCACGCCCACAGAACCGGTAGTAAGAAATTTTAGATTTCACTCCTGGGCTACGGTATGAGGTGGTGGTGTAAGCACAACACATCGACGGTCTGGAATCTACAATGCCCTTGTGCCAGCAGCTTGGTAAAAGCCATATGTGTCTAGCAAAATGCAAGACCCTCAGGGCTTCCAATCTATTGTTGGAGAACTTTTGATTTATGTAGATTATGCCAACTTTGTATCCAAGATAAACTAATCCAGTTGTTTTGGAGATCTAAAATGATACTTTTATTGCAGCTACAATTTAAAGGCATTGTATGTTAAAAATATAGTTTCTATTGTACTAGCAACAGTAGCACATGGTGGTCGGTCCAGAATGTTTTTGACTCAAAATAACAAAGGCTGTGCCTTTCTAAACATTGAAAGAAATATTGAAAAAAATAATTAAGCAATGTACCACATATATTTTTCTTCCAGTTGCCAGTGTAGAAGTAAAAACTCGAGAGAAGTTGGAAGCTGCTAAGAAGAAGACCAGCTTTGAGATTGCAGAACTTAAAGAAAGATTAAAAGCAAGCCGTGAAACTATCAACTGTCTAAAAAATGAAATAAGGAAGCTTGAGGATGATGACCAAACTAAAGATATATAATACCTATTTACTACTTTAAGAGACTTCACATGAAACCTATTTTGATCATGGAAATAACACATTTCCTTTTCTGGGAAAAACTGCATATAGGCATTCTGGAGAGATTTTTTTTTTTTTTTTTGTGGACAAAAGGAAAAAATTCAGTATTATGACAATTCACTAAGTATTTTTTTTTTTTAGAAAATAAGCAATATTTTCATGGTTTTAAGCTGCAATTGCTTATAACTTGTTCATAGTCTGATGTTTTGAGGAGTATATGAAATCCTTCTATGATATTGTTATTAAGTGTGTAGTCAAAATTCTACGTATTTACATAAACCATCACTACCTTAACGAAAAATAAAACTGTACCATAGGCAGCTAAACCAAGTCTTCTATTATTTTGTTTTCAGATTTCTCAGAAATGAGATAGAACTGTACAAAGAAATATCAATGGTAGGTTTACCCTTACAGAGGACAAAACTGATCATGACTCTATTTGGAAACTGTTGTCTGTTGTTCTAGAGTTCCAGTAATAAAAGTAATATGTGAAAACTTGTATATTTTCTTTAATATTAAAATATGATAAAGTATATAATTTTATATAAACAGGAAGGCAATTGAAAACAAAGGTTTGTGAACATCAACTAGCAGTAGTAGTAACGCCAGTTCGATTGGGAAGGAACAAAAATCATTGGCCATGCCAGCACCCATCACACACGTGAATTTATTGAAGCCTGGTATTCTACCAAAGGAGCAATTAACAACATATTGATCTAGATCCAACATATGACTACGTAAGAAACCAGACCATTCAAACAACCAATCAACAAGAGAACCAATCAGCTTCTCAGAATTTAAATATAGCTCCAAATGAACAACCATTCACATAACCAACTGACTAAACTGACACACAAGACGTTTGTAAGCTAAGGATAATAGGACAAGAAAATCCTGCTGATGATGTTACCTAGTCCGGTAACAAAATGTTCAAAAACTAAATTGAAACAAGCTTGGAGAGCAAACCACTGCCAAAAAGTATATAATTTTATACAATTCCTTTTGATGGTAATATAAAATGTGAACTTGTTACAAAGTTGAATTTTCTCTGTTGTCCATTCACAAAGTGCTGCAGTTCACTAATAATTGAACATTACAAATTTACAGGAAAGTTTAAAAAATAATAAAAACCAGGAAAACTTAAACCATATTTACATATATATGTGTGTGTGTATATGCAAAAAATTAAAATCTCGGGTGTTTTCCCACGTCATGTTAAATAAGTTGGTTAAAATGTTTAAAATTCTGGTTAAAATCCTAGCTTAAAATCTTCTAAAAATCCTTACCGAGCACTCTGCAAGGTCCTTTAAAACCTTAGCTAAAATCCTACCAGTACCTTAAAAGTTTTTCTTATAGCAACGTTTCGACAGGCTCACAACCCTGTCATCTTCAGGCTCTTATCTAGTTTAGAAGCTGTGGGTGTGTTGCGAGGTCGGAGCTGTTGCTTTTCTATGTTTGCTGCTGCTGACGTATGCTGGTTAGTCTGTAACTCTATGTTGTGATTGGAGAACAGCAGTTTTTCTTCCTGCTTCCTCATCCTGGCTGTTTGGCTACGTGTTACAGGCCTAATTTTCTCAGGTTCTCTATTATTATCTGTCTGCTGTAAAGGGGAAAGGATTCTGGTAGGCATCCCAGCACCCTTGATTGTTAGTTGAGATCTCAGCCTGTCTTCTGGCTCAATCCTTTCTCTCTCTACGTTGGTGCTTTAAATCCTGTTCATTTTTAACTTACATATATTTCACTTACCCGTATTTCACTCTTTGCATCTATTTGTATTAAGATACAATCGTTCATTATTTCTTAATTCGATGTTTCAATACACAATTCTAATACCAATCACAATATTATTTAGACATATGAAATTAATATAATCATATTTTTAGTCATCAAATCTATATAATTCTGATAGTAATACACATTTATATTAAAGTATGTTCTTTCACTATTTAATTGCTCAATATTTCAATATATTATTCCATTGCCAATCACAATATTATTAAAATGTACTTATTAACACCATCATTCAATTGTCAGCTTTGGAAACCATATTAGCCATTTAATTGAAATTGGGGTTTTCTGGAACGCTGACATCAATCTCTAGTTTTCCCATTTTATTATTACTTTTATTCTATTGTATAAAGATATGTATATACAAATGTTTCCTCCTTCTCTTATTTCTACTTAACGTCTAATCATGCCACCATTATAAAAAAGAAGGGAAAGAGAGAAAGGAAAGCAAATCAAAACATCAAAGAAAAGAGAGAAACCCTTTCCTTTCTTTCTATCCATCGTCTCTTGCCCACTTCAGTATTTTAGTTGCTATGCTTTTTTTGACTTGCCTCCTATATTCATATCTTGGATCTTTATCTCTGTCTACATCTACTTCTTGACTATTCAGTCTAAGTATTTCTCCCATCTCTACCCTCTTCCACTGCCTAGCTTCCAAAATGACTGCCCAAACCCCTATCTCCCTTTCAAAAGTATCTTCCTGTATCTCCAATTCTCTTTTCAACTCTCTTAAAATGTTTTTCCCCTGGTTTAATTCATCAGTCACTGTTATTTTTATTATTATCTCCTCCTTGTCGTCATCTTTTTTCCCGCTAGTTCTTTGGTTCTATCTTCTCCTCCATTCCTTCTGTTAGGTCCTCCTTTTTCAGAGCGTCTTGATCTTTATTCATATAATATTTTCCATTTTTTCCATAATCTCCTTAAATCCTTTCTCCATGGTGTCCTTTGTGCTTTGGAAAATCAACTCCATCTCCTCCAAAGTTCCATTCATTTCTTCCTTATGAAGCATCTTATTTTATTTTTAAAAATCCCACTTTTGTCCACTAGTCTAAGAACCATTTATTCAGACCTAAAGCTGCCCTTCAAGTACACTAATCACAGTTCTTTGTATCCCATAGGTAATCAGTCAGTTCTGTTTAAATAATCCCAGAAGTTTATCAAAAGCCTCTTTACATCCCCTTTACAGGTTCAGTCTTTTAGCATAACATTCAGAGGTCACTTTAATTAAATAACTTCCTTGTTCTCATACTTGAATCTCCAGTAGTTGTGGGGTAGTTAGATATAACCTAGTAAATATTTTCACAATCCTTCATATAAGTATTCCCGGACTTGTATGTTTTCCTTTCGTCAGCAGGTGGTGCTCTCAACTTAAATTTCAGTGTTGCCACTAGTCAATCTAGTGTCAGTTTTTTAAAATAATATTTTAATTGTATTTTTCTCAATGTGCTTAATTGCCTCTTTAACAAATAATTCTTGGCAAATAGTTTTAAATTAGACCTTTGGCTTAGGTTTTAAGTGAAAAGGAATTCTCTCCTCCAGTTCCAGTAACTGTTCACCTACTTCGTTCCAGCAGCAGTCTTAGTTGTCCCAGCTTTGTGGCAGCCATCTTTAGGCTGCCTCTTCTCGCCGTGGCTGAGAGGGAAAGAAAACCCCGGGTCAGTCAGGAGAGATGCGACTCTCCATGACCTCACAGGGCACCCCTCTTTGCTTTACCGCCCCTACAGGGCGGCTTTGGCTCCTTTCAGAGCCCACCAACGGGGAGAACTTGGCACAGGAGTGTGGAGACCCGCTCGTGTCCGATCTCGCCACAACATCAATCAGAAACCCTCTGTTGTCAATGTTGTTATGCTGCAGTCTGATTCTATAGTTCTAGAAATTATTTTTTTTCTTAATCTATACTCAGTACCCCATAATGATGAAGTGAAAACAGAATTTTAGAAATGTCTGTAAATTAATTTTAAAAAAAATGAAATATCACATTGGCATAAGTATTCAGACCTTTCACTCAATACTTCGTTGAAGCACCTTTGGCAGCAATTACAGCCTCAAGTCTTTTTGGGTATGACGTGACAAACTTTGCACACCTGGTTTGGGGGATTTTCTGCCATTCTTCCTTATAAATCTCTCAAGCTCAGTCAGGTTGGATGGCAACCATCAGTGGATAGCCATTTTCAGGTCCCTCCAGAGATGTTCAATAGGGTTCAAGTCAGGGCTCTGGCTGGGCCACTCTAGGACACTCACATAATTGTCCCTAAGCCACTCCTGTGTTGTCTTGGCTGTGTGCTTAGGATCGTTGTCATGTTGGAAGGTGAATTTTTGGTCTAGTTCTGAAGTCCTGAGCACTGTAGAACAAGTTTCATTGAGGATATCCCTGTACTTTGCTCCATTCAGCTTTCCCTGAATCCTGACCAGTCCTCCCAGTCCCTGCTGCTGAAAAGTACCCCCGCAGCAGGATGCTGCCACCACCATGCTTCACTGTTGGGATGTTATTAGACAGGTGATGAGTGGTGCCTGGTTTCCTCCAGACATAACTTTTAGAATTAAGGCCAAACGGTTCAATCTTGGTTGCATCAAACAAGATAACCTTGTTTCTCACAGTCTGAGTGTCCTTTTTTGCAAACTCCAACCAGTTCAGATGTTTTGCACTGAGAAATAGCTTCTGCCTAGCAACTCTGCCATACAGTCCAGATTGATGGAAGGCTGAGGTGATTGATGGTTGTCCTTCTGGAACTCTGTCCAATCTCCACACAGGATCTCTGGAGCTCAGTCAGAGTGACCATTGGGTTCTTGGTCACCTCTCTTACTAAGGCCAATTGCTCAGATTGATGAGACAAACAGCTATTGGAAGAGTCCTGGTTGTGCCAAGCTTCTTCCATTTGAGAATTATGGAGGCCACTGTGCTCTTAGGAACCTTCAGTGCAGCAGAAATTTTATTGTAGCCTTCCCTCCATCTGTACTTTGCAATAATCCTGTCTCTGAGCTCTGCAGGCAGTTCCTTTGACCTCATGGCTTCTGCTCTGCTACAATATGCATTGTCAGCTGTGAGGCCTTCTATTGAGAGGTGTGTGCCTTTCCAAATCATATCCAATCAATTTAATTTACCACAGGTGGATTAAAATCAAGGTGTAGGGACATGTCATAACTATCGAGAAATGAGAGGCACCTGAGCTAAATTTCAAGTGTTGTTGCAAAGGATCTCAATACTTATGCCAATGTGATATTTCAGTTTTTTTCTTTTTAATAAATTTACAGACATTTTTGAAATTCTGTTTTCACTTTGTCATTATAGGGTACTGAGTGTAGATTAATGAGAAAAAATGAATTTCAACAACTGTAGAATCAGGCTAAAGCATGACAAAAGTAAAGGGGTTCTGAATATTTTCTGGATGCATTGTATATGTATGTAATACATACATACATACATACATACATACATACATACATACATACATACATTGATTGATTGATTGATTGAATTTATATACCACCCTACTCCCGAAGGACTCAGGGCGGTGAACAGCCAAAAGATAAAATACATATAATACAAATGTTAAAAAATCATTAAAATACAATTAAATAATTTGGCCCAGAAAACAAAATTTAAAAACCCCAATTATAAGACAGATTTAAAATTTAAAAACAATTTAAAAAAGAGATTAGGCCAGGCCGGCCTGCTGGAATAGGAATGTTTTAAGGGCATGGCGGAA